AATCAGAAAATACATATTATTGAAGCAGAAAATATTTTTAAGCTATTTAGAGTTGAAAAAAAAGTTAGACAAGAAGATCTACTCTTATTTTTTTTTTATATTCTTGCTTTTGAACTTCTAATAAGAAGCTTAGAAAATAAACTTTATGAAGTTAAACTAGAGAATCAATTCTTTAAGGTTTCTGCATATGCTGATGATTTTACTATAGAAATTAGATCTCTTACAAATTGGAATTTAGTATTATCTTCTTTGAGTTTATATGAAATAACCTCTAATATAAAAATTAATAAAACAAAAATGAAACTCATTTCTTTTACTTCTATAACTCAAAGAGTAGAACTTTTTAATAAAAATTAATTTTTTAAGACTAGTAAAGATGATTCTATCACTATTTTTGGCTGTAAAATTCTTACAAATAGATAACTTAAAAAAGATCTTTAGACTACAACAATCAATAGTTTTAAGAATTCTCTTGATAAGTTATCAAATAGGAACCTATTGTTTAAAGAAAAAATTCTAGTTGCTAAGACTTTTATTCTTTCTAAAGTCTAATACTCAGCCTACTTACTACCTTCAAACAGAAAACAAACTGCAGAAATTAACTGAATTATTTCTCTTTAGATCAAAAGTACCTTATATATGCTCTCTAAATATACTACTTTTCAGTAGTCTAAGAAACTAGTAGGCCTCTAAACTTTTATTATAAAAGATATACTAGATACTTATCTTATTTTAGTTTAAATAAAACTTTTTACTTCAAACTTTATATAGACTCTTTTTGAAAGAAACAAAATTGCTTCTATTCTTAAAAACAAAAGAAATATCTTATCTATAGCTGCTCTTAGCTCTAATAATTTATATACTAAGACTTAGCCTTCAGAATAAAAACTTTATCTTGTAGCTTAGATAAGAATCAAAAAAAAATCTCTTTTTCTTTTAATTAGTCTTAGAATAGAGATAAAATCTTAATTAATGAGATTAAAGAAAATGAACTCACAGTTAAAAAATCTTAAAAATTTTGAAAAAAACAATTCCTTTACTAATCTCATTTCATACTTCTTCTCAAGCTATACAACCTTCCTAGTTATTAATCAAGTCTATATATAATAAGAAAAAAGATATCTTCTAGTATCTCTTTTATAGAGTTTTTTTTTTAGACTACTAGATAAGATATATAGGTCTATCAGAAACAGAAAACTGTACTTGGTACTCTAATAAGCTTCAAACTCTTAAACACTTTGCTATCAACTGCCTCAGAAGTATAATCATCTAGAAAGAAACTTATAAATTTCTTAACATAAATGAGAAAAAAAATCCTTCTACCTTACTAGAATATATTTTTCAAGCTTTGAATTTTCATAATTCTTAAGCTACTACTACTATTATCTGGTTATATATTAATATAATCTATGAAATTTGGTGCAGATATATCTCTTTAAAATAGGGAAGCTCAGATATACTAATAGAGTTACTTAATTCTTTAATTAAAAGTCATATTTCGAAAGAAATTTAAACTTTAAAATTTTACACTTCTATTAATAAATCTAAAGCTAATAGAACTTTATATAAATATTTAAAATGTATATAGTTTTAGTCTATTTATAATTTCTTAATAAAAGAATACTAACTGCGCCTCTAACTGCTATAGCAGTAGAGAAAAAAAAAATCTATTATAATAGTAGATTGAAATTTTGAAGATAATCAAATGTAACTACTGAAATTATTTATAAGAAGTTTATAACTATAGCATACAATTCAACTTTTCTATTGCCTTATAATTATTAATATCTGTTTGCATATCTTTTGAAAAATATCAAAATTTGAACAAGCAATTATATAATAGTTATAAGCTTGAATTTCACAAATGATTTTTTATTTTTGGATGTTCTATAGAATAGGTAAGCAATATAAGAAATAAGCTTCGCTAATGATTAGTAATCATTAATTTTTTAATATATTCAGCGGAGTTTAGCGGAGTTTGCCCACCTATTCTATAGAACATCCTTATTTTTTTTGTACACAAACGATTTTGTAATTAAGCTTTGGGTAAATTAGGTAATATTAGTTATTCATTTTAATTCGGATTGTTAATTTTTGTTATTTTCTTTTTTTATGGTTACGGTACGATTCCCCGAAAGTTATTTCCCCTACAAGTCACTTACCCGACATCACACAGGTGACAATTTGCTAAAAATATATACATGCAACTAATCAAATGCTAAACCTAACCCTATGTGATGTCGGGTAAGTGACTTGTAGAGGAAATAACTTTCGGGAATTGAGCGACAACCTTTTTTATAGTTTAATTAAATGTTTCTCAGTTTATTCGTGTTTAATTTATTATTCATTTGTGTTTAATAATTCAAACGGTTTGATATAATATAAAATCTTGCCTTTAATGTTTAAGTCTATAGAAATTTCATTGGGAACTGCTGTTGATTATATAGATGATTGGGAAGAGTTCATTATTTCTATATATACGCTTGTCACGTGATTAACCAGTACAGTACGTACAAAGTCACGTGAATTGGTACGTGTCCGTAGACCATCCGTGTGAAATAGCTATTACAAATCATGTTATTGCTAAATTTTTTAACGATTTATTTTATTTATTCGAAATTTCATGTCAATCTGGATGACCCACTTTTATTGAAAATTTCTTTCAACACCAGAGTGCCTCACCCGCGGACGGCCCGGGTTGGTTTTTTTTGGACAAGTCAATACTAACGTGACTATTTTGTCGAAACCAGCGGTTTACTGAAATTAACAGTAAACTTAGTTATTTTTCAGTAAATCTTTCAGCATAATAATCGCGAGTACATGCTTTATAAAGTGCCCCTAGTTTTGAGATACTGATGGATTCTTTCGTATTTCCAGTGTAATTGTTTGTTTAACACGAAAGATGGTGTTATTTTTTAATTAAAAATTGGTATATTTCCGAAAAAGTACACTAAGCTGTATAAATTCTACTGTATAAATTATAAAATTTAATTCTTGGCATGTAGTACTGATAAAGAATTTTATCGGTGGCACTTAGTGTTGTGTTACTACATTTTTACATTCACGTAATTTTCAGTAAATTGATTTCCTCATATCTGCATATTATAAGTATTACAGAAGTTTAGCCAGTGTTAATGTATTGGATAAAAAATTATAAGGACGTAAAATCCCTATTTTCCCCACCACTTCTGATTGGCTGTACTAATTACTCACTCATCGGAGCCAATCAAATTTAACGATCAGGTAAAGAAACGTAAAAATACAAAAATCGCTCATAACTCTAAATTCAACTTATGAATCTGTCTTCTGCGCACTAATAAAAAAGTTTCCTTGAAAAATTTGGCATAAGAGGCACTTTTTTATAATAAGCTAATGGCAAAATACTAACTCTAATACAACAGTGAGAATTTTTACTTGAAAAATTTTTTGATTAATACTCCATAATAGTATAGCCAATCAGAAATGATGGAGGAAATTAGTAAATCCGTTCAATGTAATTTTGTGTAAGTTTCTGTAAATTAATATTTTCATGTAATTGCAACTTTGAACACATGATGATTTTACATCCTTACAATTTTTCATCATTTAAATGTAGTAATGACTTTGAATCATAATACTGGCTAAATTTTTGTAATACTGATCTTACTAATCACAAGAAAATTAGATAAATCTAATTTACTGAAATTTCGTAAAATGTAATACCTAAACTATCATAAAATAAATAAGTTTAACAATTAAGATTGACCAGATTTTGAGTTGGTGTTGATTGAGGAACATCCGATTTTATTTACCATAATCTTAAATTACATTATTTATATATTTATATTTATTGAGAGGTTCGTAACGGTAAGTACGATACCGCAATCTAATTGGTGAGAACATGCATAAATGTTGTTTGTAATTAGACCCAATAAGAAAACAAATATACAATACGATGAATGTAACATGACAGAAATTTCTTTAGGAAGGCCATGAGATTATGTAATTCAGAAGTAATTAGGTTACAAAATTTATTTAAATAGAATGTAAATATGTGGGTTTAAATATGGATATCCTAGGCGGTTTTTACCGTCTCTTTATAAGACAATCGCGAGATTTACACGATGCCACCATATCATTTAAATGCATTAATTTTTATATTAGTACAATTATGTAGCATCTCTCTTCTGGGAATACTTGTTATTGTTCTATTAATGTCAAAACCTCAATTTACGTACGTGACATTACTTCAATTATTTACATCTACTTTAATTTTTGACATAATTGGTTTGCTACCAATTTTGATATTCGGTAATGAATTAGCGACTGTAGGAGTCCAATCGACATTATGTATAGTATGTCAGAAATTTACAACCTTTTTACACTTTCCATCGCATGTCTTTCCTTTAGTATTAGGTAAGATACGACTATAATTCTATCTTATTTCATTCTTTATTTTATTTTGTAATCTTATACAATTTCATTCAATTTAAAGCATTTTTTCTATGGTACGCATTGTTTCGAGGAGACTTAAAAATTGAGCAAAAGTGTAATCATTATATATCAGGAGCTATTTGGCTATATTCTTTTTTATATTCGATTATTTCAATTATGGTAGATAGGGTTAATAACAATTTTGGTACAACGGTTTCTTCATACATGTGCTTACCCGTATTTGATAGTAAATCGTATTTTGGATACATAATACCTAATCTGTTTTTGACTGTGATCTCGATACCTATGTCATGTTAGTAGATAAAATAAATTTATGGTATAAAATTGTATTGTCTTTATTTATTAATATAGTCTTTATAAATATATATATATTAGGTCACTCCGGTCTCATTTTATGGAAGCAATGGCGAAATTTTTCTTATAATCGAAACAGATCCACAGCGATAAAACTAGGCCATTCCGCACGTTTATTCGTTTTTATCTCTATTAACACTATATTTCTTTTTGTCACCCTCATCCCACGAGTATTGTTATATCATCGAGACAGTTCAATCCCACAATGTATAATGGCTTTTGCTTCGGCATTAATGTGAGTTTTTATTTTTAATTTTTTTTTAAAAAAAAGTTTGCATTGAAAATCATTAAAGTTACTAAAAAACTTTTGTGATATTTCATATCGTATACGTAGTGGTGTATTTTTATTTCTTATTTTTGGTACAAATCGTAGAGCAGCCGTGTTCCTTCCATGTTGCTATTACACTCCTTCTATGCTTCCAACACAACAAGAATCTTTAAATGATTCAGGACAAAATAATTACGTACTTGAGACACTTGAATCGTTTGCGGTAAATCTCCCGGAGGATGTTTATAATGCTACCACTAAAAAAATCTAAAAAAAAAAATTCAAATCATTTACTGAATGTTTTTAGATATAGATAACTTAAAAGTGTAATATGTGTAATATTATAATTCTTCATAAAAATAGTGTTTGGTGCGGAGATGTGTGATTCGTAATTTCCACATGAACATTGAAAAAACATTTCTCCTTCAAAAAAAAAAAAAAAAAAACTCCCCAAATTTAATTCAATATTATTTATTTATTCTCTGCACTATTTCCTCATTACATCTTGTATAATTTCACAATTCACGTGATTTATTTGTCATAGAAAAAAGATAAGAAAAAATTATCGTTATGCTAATTCAAACTCGAATTATTTATTATATAGCTGATAATATTTATATTAGTTTTTATTGTTTATTCAGTTTTAAAAAATCATCGAATTTGATTATCTTTAATATATGGAGATTTTACATTTATGATTATTTTTGCATAATTTGAAGTTAAATACCGGTATTAATCCCGACTAGAATGTCCATACAGTGTTTCAGAGACTTGAAAGTCATATAAATTATGTGGCTTTTCGTGCGTTCAAATAATATAATTTCTTTGTACTGTACAATACTATACATGACATAGCAACTTTGCCGAAATTATTTCTACATATAAAAAAAGGATAGTTATGTAGCTAGTATAAATTAGTTTATATTTCTGTTTTAGCATTGTAATATTTTCTCTGAATAAATAAAAGATAAGATTACCTAAATTAAAAAAAAAGTAGTTGTATATTGATATTATAATTGTTAGTTATTAATTTTTCAGTTATTATATTATTAGAGTTGTTGTTATTAAAGCTAGTTAGATATTCTGTATATAACTGAGTTTGTTGTAGAGAAGTTTGTTAATTATTTATTTTTAGTTGCCTATTTAGGTTGTTGTTTATATTGTAATTTTCTCTGACTATTATATTTGTATTGTTATAACTATTTTGACTAAAGATATAGATATTAGAATATAAAATAATATATATCATAGCTGTAACTAGGTAGCTATCCAAATTTCATATGACATAAGAGAGTAGCTACTCTTAACCTGACAAATATCTGTATCTCTAATTTTGACTATTATTGTTATTATATTGTATACATATAATGTAATATTGTATTTTAGAGAAGATAAACTAGTTTGCTCACTTTTTGTTATTTGAGATATATTTTGAAAAGTTAGTTTATCAAAGTGTCATTTTTTAGAGTAGTTGTTTTGATTATTTTAGTTATTACTAGTACTTTCTATCACTATATTATTATCTGTTAATAAAGTATATACAAGTTGATTAGAGATTTTAGATAACTTCTTTATATAGTTAGATATTGCTTAGTTCTTAAAAGACAAACTTGTTTTATTGTAAAGACTTTTTCTTTTGTTAGAGTTGTTAGTTTGAATTTTATTAGATAGTATTTAGTAATAAGCTTTGTAGTTTGTTGTATCTAAAAAATAATTAGTTATTTAATTATTAGAAGTAGTATATTGAAGTTGTTGTTTTTCTTTCTTCTAATTTTTGTTTTTTAGTGATTATTAGAAAAAGTCTATTTTTAATTTTTTAATTTTTTTTATTTTCTTTTCTTATAGTCTTGTTTTGTTTGTTATCTGTTATAGGTTTATAATTTTTCTTTAGTTTTTCTTCTTCAAATAGAACCTTATACTATTCAATCTTTTTCTTTTCTATTCTATCTTTTAGGATCTCTAGTTCTTTATGACAGTTCTAACTAATGATTACTCAAGTATTTTTTTTTTATATTGTCTGATAATACTACTAATGCTATTATATAGTCTATTTGCCTCGTCTAATACTCTTTTGTATCATTTATTTCTATTTGTAATATTCTTAGAGAAGCATTATCTATATCTTCTAAAATTATATCTTTTGTTCAAAGAGCTAAATCTTCAATTTTCTTATTAAAAGCTAATTTTGTCTCTTGTATATCTTGAGGTAATTCTTTTGTTAGCTTGTTAGAATTTACCTTAAGTTAAGAATTTTTGATTTCTACTCTCTTCTTATCTTTTAATAAAATTTTAATAGCTGTTTTATTTTTATTCACTAGTTTTTTATTTAGATCTTCTAGCTCTTGTTCTAAAATTGATCTTGAGTTAGTATCTTTTTTTTTTCTTTTTCTATTTCTTGTAATATCAGAAAATTTTTTTCTAATTTTGTTTCTGCTTTCTGTAACTTTTTAGAACTTTTTCTTTTTATTTTTTTTTTTTTTACTTTTTTTCTTATTGAATTAGAATTTTTTTTATATTTGCTTTTGATTTTTTTTGTTTCTTTTTTCTTCTAATATTGCTAATTCTCATTTTAGTTCTCTAATTGCTATATCTAGAATTTCTCTTCTTTTTTCTATAATTACTCTTTTAATAATTTTATACTAACTCCTAATTACTATAATTACTTTAGTATTTATACCTATAATTTTTAAATATATTTGTCTAAGTGCTCATAGCTTTTTCTTATTCTTTTTATAATTTTGATTAGTTTTGAAGATTCTACTTTCTTAAGCATAGCTTTGAGACTAGCTATTTTTTTTTAACTTTAACTACTGTTTCTCTTTTGTTAATTTTGAGTTAGGATCTTTTTTAGTACTATCTTTATATACTATTTTATTTTTTATCTTAACTTATAATATTCAAAGAAATAATCTTATCTTTTTATAATTTCTAGTATTTCTTTTTGCTTGTCTGTAAACTTTTTACCTTTAATCTTAGATAGCTCTACTTTATTAGCTAATATGTAATATATCTCATTAGTACTAATAATATAATTAATTGTTTATACTAGTTTTTATATGTTTGTATTATATAAATTGATCTGCAGTTTGAAGTAAATCTGAATTTCTAGTTTTCTAAAAAAAAAATTTTCTGTTGTAGCTTTTGAGCTAGTACTTTCTGTTACTCTTGCTATAACTATTTGTTTTCTTTACTATTTTAGTACCAAATATATATTTCTTTAGTACCTTTCTTTTTGTTTAGTACTTCTAATACTATTTCTTATAAAAAATTTTTAGTTTTTCTGATTTTTCTTTTAGCTATAAATTTAGTAAAAATGATCTATAAGAAGAGTAATATGAATAGATTTAATTTGTCTATTAGATTCTTATATTATCTCAATATTTATCTTTTATATATACTTTTATAACCTATTACAGGTTGAATGAATATATTAAATATATATATTAGAATTTTTTTATTATTCTGATATTTATTTTTTATATACACTTTTATAATCTGTTATTCAACAAATATTTAGCAGATTTATAGCTAAATAAAAGTAAAATAAAAGATGCATATTAGTATCCTTTAATCTGCAAGTTATTTTAGAAAATTTGCTTAGAAAATTTATATAATAATATCTATAATCTATATTTTTATAAATTAATATATTTAAACAAAATTTTTTTTAATAATATTTTAAAATAAAAATTATATAATTGTAGTATTTATTTTATTTTATAAGAAAAAATATAAGTTGTCTGTATACTAAAGTTAAATGACTTTAAAAAATTTTTTTATTCAAAAAATTTTATTATTTATTTTTGGCAAACCTATTAACTATTAGCTATCTGTTTTTTTTTAAAAATTAGAATTACAGAATTTATCAAGAGAAACAACTTTTATTATTATAATTTTTATAATTTAATTGTAAAAATTTAAATTTTGTCTTAGAACTAAAAATTTTTTTAGCTTTAAAAATATATAAAATTTTAAAAATTTTTTAAAAAAATTAATTATAAAAAATTTTTAATATAAACTTTAAAAATTTATTATTCAAAAACTACTTAGTAAAAATAAAAAAATTTCTTAATAAAGTTTATAGAGTATGTTTTCAATAATATATTCTATATATAATATAGATCCCATTTCATTAATATTTTATTAAATTATTTAAAAAATAGTATTTACTCTTTAATTTTCCAAGCAAATTTGCCTGGAATACAGTTTAAAGGATAAGATTATCAGACCAATAGATCGAAATCTCTAAAAACAATACAACATCTAACCAACAAATCAAAACAGATAAAGAAGATGAAAATATTATTTTACCTAACCTACCTGAATCCTTCTCATCAATTTTAACAGAGCTGCAAGCTATTGTTAATAATAATATTATTCTAGAACTACTAATAACACAACATGAAAAGGTTGCAGAAACTATCGGCTTTTTACATCAACACTACAATTTTAAATCATTACCTGACTTCTTGCTTCAACTTCTACTTCTCTCAAAGCTATCTTAGAAAATTTTTTAATCTACTAATGTCTGATTAAAACAATAATAACAATACTCAGACTAGATCAGATTATACAAATAATCAAATAAGTACTTCAATTCTATATACATTTTATCCTCTAAAGAATAACAACAAATTAATCATTATTGCTACTCATAATATTTAAGGCATAAACAATACTACTAAATTTCAACAATGGATACAATTTTGTTACGAAAGCCAACTTGATATTATTAGTATTACAGAGACCAAATTAGCTAGCTCTACTCATAACAACTTTAAATTTATAAATCTATATTACAAAATATTTTTGCCAACACAACTTCTAATAGTAAAAAGAAACAAGAAACAAGTATGGGAATAGCAATTGCTATAAAAAATCTACTATGTCTCTATATACATAATATCTAAACCTACAAAAGGTATATAATTGCAATTGATATATTTTTTTCTGGTATCCAATGATATAGAATAATATCTGTATACAATTCTTGTAATGATAATGATACAAGAGTATCTCTTAATCAAAAAATACAACAATGAATTCAGAATGTAAATAACTCAAAAATTGAATTCATAGCCTAGATGACTTCAATTGCACTCTAGATCATAAGCAATCTAAAATACTTAGCACTATTTGAGCTTGTGATTTAATTAGTACTCTTAAACAATTTAACATAACTGCACTTATATAGAATAGAGAACATAGTTCATTACAAATAGATGATATATGGATCCTATCTTATTTACTAAATTGTTTTCTTTGTCCTAT